TATATAATATATAAAATTTTATAAAGTAAGCATAACATTGGAAAATAATTAGTAAGTTTAACAAAAACTAATAATTAACTTGAATACAAACTAATATCACACAAATAGCAGTCTCTTTATCACATTTTTAAATTGTTCTAAGGACTGGAAAAATAAGTCCAGATCACTTTGGTACCTATTATATAGTCTCACCATATGAGTAAGAGGCTTGAAGTATTTATAATTAAATTGACGAAATGGTAGATGAAATAATGAAGTATGCCTAGTTCCATGAAGAGTGTTAAGACTTAATCGATTTAAAAACTCAGGGCAATTTATCAAATTATTAACAATTTTGTAAAGGAATATTAGGCAAAAATAATCTTTTCGCCGATTCATAGAAACCATTTTTAAGTGATCAGCTATCCTACTATAACTGTATGGGACAGAGAGGTCATGAAAAGCACTACGGCAATGATAGTGTTTACCAAAGTTATGCTGAACACGATCAAGCTTGTCTATAGATGTTTGATAGTAAGGTCCCCATACAACTATTGCATATTCAAGTCTGGAGCGAATGAGACTATTAAAAAGAATTGGTAAAACAAAACATGAAAATTTAGAAGTGTTTCTAGTTATAAACCCTAATTGTTTAAATGCACTGTTTACTGTGACCTCTAGATGCTTATGAAATGATAATTTGCAATCAAAATAAACACCAAAATCCTTAATACAGTCCTGTCTAGACAGCTGAGTGTTATCAATACTATAGTCGTAATTTAAAATTGTTTGTTTCCTGTGAAAAGTAATACCACAACACTTATCAATGTTCAACATTAATTCATTTAGTTTGCACCAATCGCTAAATCTGTTGATATGCTCTTGTAGCTGAATTTGATCATACTGACAAGTAATGACTTTATAAATTTTTTTATCATCAGCAAAGTTGAGAAATTTTGAATACTTAATTACTTTCTCAATATCGTTAATAAAGAGGACAAAAAGTAGAGGACCACAATGTGACCCTTGTGGTACTCCAGAGAGGATGTCAATAGATTGAGACAACACATCTTAATGCTCTGGGTGTTACCCACAAGAAAACTATCATACCAATCAAGCCATTTGGCAGCTATACCAATGGCTTCTAACTTACTGATTAAATAACGATGATTTACTTTATCGAATGCCTTTGAGAAGTCAGTATAGATGCTGTCCACCTGGTACTTCCTCTCAAAGGCACCCAATATATCATCTTGGTAGACCAACAAGTTTGACACTTTGCTCCTGCCCCTTTGAAAGCCATGCTGTTGGGGTATTATTATATTATTTGTTAGTTTTGATAAGTGAGAAGTCACTAGTTTGTCGAGAAGTTAAACTTAAGTCTTAAATATGTAAACACAATGATACATAGCTATGAATGTAGATGTATATGCATGTTTTATTGGTTACAGAAAAGCATTTCACTGTGTTAACCATCAAAATATGATCAAAATTCTGAGAACAACTGGAATTGATTAACAATACTTGCGAATTATCGCAGAACCATATTGGCACCAAACGGCAACAATTGAAAATCCTGACTTGAAATCGAAGCACTAAAGAAAAGCACACTTCGAGGAAGCCCTATGTTCCTCTTAGGAATCTCAGGACATAGTGTGAAACTCACTTATGGAATAAAATTGATTCTGTACTTGTTTTAAAAAATTATAAAAGACGCTGAGATAACCTTTAAATATAAATGTGCGAATTTTAAAAATAAATTTAAATGTTCAGGGTGATTCACACAAGTATAGCATAGCACATAATATTTATTTTTAATAGAACAGCCTGTATATTTTTATAGTTTTAAAAGCTACTTAACAATCTTATCTGAACAAACTATATAATGCAAGTATTTCTCCATTGATGCAACTTAGTGTATTGTTGCTTAGTTAGAACTATTTTGGAATACTGTCAGTTATTTGGTCACCCTATTTTTGGAACAATATTGAATACCATAGAAGGAGTCCAGAATAAATTTTTGAGATATTGTGCTTATCATCTCCACACTACTATTGAATATCATGATTATTCCTGTATCAAACAACAATTATCTTTACCCTCATTTAAGAACTGTGGTGATATGTCAGGAGCTATATTTATATTATAAGATCATACATAGATTTATTGATTGCCCAAACCTGTTAAGCCAGATTAACTTTAATGTTCCCCATCAAGCTCTATGTTACCACAATGCTTTCAATAACCACAGAACAACCTATGGTATTCACAACCCATTGGATATATACATGGGGCTATTAAATGTTCTCGATTTTGATATTTTTAATATAACTTTAACTCAGTTAAAAAGATATCTTACTTTGTGATATGTATATTGGGATTGTTGAATTTTGTTCTTGTTTTATTTTGTTTGTTTTTTAGTATGTGAGAATATTAATCTCATTTTTTAAACTTTTTAATATTGATTGTATATTGTAAGAAATTTCAAGTTTTGAATCATAACTGTGATATTGTATATTGTAATTAAAACTGTTAATGGGCTTATCCTGTGTATTAAACAAATAAATAAATAAATGTATTGTCTATTATAAATAATACAGGGTGAAATTTCGAAATTATACAGTGGAATATACATCCACTTTTAGAATAAAATTGTTTGTGTCCTTATTTTAGAAAATTATAAAAACCACTGTGACATGTTAACTTTTAAATTCAAACATGCTTTTTTTAAACATACATTTAAATGTAGAGAGTGATTCACATAAGTCTAGCATAGTCCATCAACTTTATTTTTATTAAAATGCCCTGTACATTTTTATGTTTTTAGAAGCTGCTTAGCAACCTCATATCAAAATAGGGTAAATATACACTCTTTGCAGATGACACTACAGTGGCCTTTGAGCTGAAAATATTGAAGATGTGCTGGAGGGTTCTATGGTTACACAGCAGATGACTGAGCAATGGTTTGTAGCAAATTGGTTGGTTGTGAACAACAATAAAACTAAACAAGTGATTTTCACAATGAGAGATGTGGGTGATATGAATGCTGGAGTCTGTGAGATTTTAAGAGTTCTTTTGGTCCCAAAATTACAGTGGGGCTCACATATTAATAACTTATGCAAAAAGCTAAATAAAAGTCTCTTTATTTTGAGAAATCTTTCAAAATGTGCCTCACTGGAGACTATATATGTACTATGTATCACTCAATATTCCACTCACATCTTTCATACTCTATCCTAGTCTAGGATCATGCAGCTGACACTCACAGACTATTTGGTCTGCCAAGAAAGGCAATGAAGGTCCTTGCTGGTTTGGGATTTATGGAAGCATGCTGTCAGGGTTATGAAATATTGGGAATTCTCACTGTACCAGCACTGTACATTCTAGACAACCTTCGATTTATGAAGAGGAATATCAATCTTTATAGAAATTACGAAGATCAGAATGGTTACAATATTAGGCAAGAAACTTGTCTGAAAAGAAATTTGAAAATGAAATTAAAAAAATATTGATAAAAAATTCCTTTTATTCAATTAAGGAATATTTACTACACAATTTTAATTTTAATTGAGGTTTTGTAAATAGTTGATGTGTATAAGATTTTCTATTTTTAACATGAATAAACAGTATTGAGTAGAGTATTGAGTAATAGACCCTCCATGATATAGTTTGTTGAGATCAGATTTTTAAGCATCTCTTAAAAATATTATAAATATACAGGGTGTTCACCCTGTACATGTAAATTTATGTTTAAAAAGTGCATATTTAAATTTAAAAGTTGAAGGTCTCAGCATTTTCATAGTCTATATATTTAGAGTCTATAATATGATTACAATCATTTGATTTACTTACATTGTTTTCATTAAAACGGTATTAAATATAGTATCAGCATGCAATATTTCATGATGATGTACCAATGATAAACCAATGGTTAAATTTTCAATTTATTCAATAATTATTAAACTAATCTTAAAAGAAATTCTCTAAATTGTATTTAACTATATTTAACCCAACTTACCAACTATAATCTATATTTAACCCAAATTTTAACAACAAAGGAAATGTAAAACCACTGAGGGAAGATAAATGTAAATGGTAAATGGCAGTTAAAAGAATCCTTGAAATCTATTTTTAAGTTAAGTTTAAGGTCCTTTGTAACCATTATATTATACAGTCCATTCTGCCAAGGTGCCAGAGGCATGTGTTCAAAAATGTAGACAGACAGACATATCATCACTAACTAAACACTCATTAACATTGAACTAAAAATACAAAAAAATATGTTTCATTAGAGGAAAAAAAAATCAAATGACCTGCAGTAAAGCTAATGTAGGGACTATTGACCTATATGTGAGGTGCTAATTAATGCCTAATAGCCTGTCTAATGTCAGACAGATAGAAAAATTATAAAACTGGACAGCAATGAACTAAATTTGAAGAAAAGAAGTTTTCGAAAACTATTTTATCAATAGAAAAAAATGAAAGAAGATGAAAAGTACTAAAAGGTTTCTTTTAAATCATTTTTTTAGTTTCATATATTTAATACTTTCTCTTCATTTATAATTACATGCTTTCATTTGTGCTAACTATTAATGCTTGTTTGTATATCTTCTAGTGTGATATAATTGGCAATAAAATTAACATTTTAATTTTGTAATTAATGTAATTAATTTAACATAATTAAGTAACTTGAATATTTCATACATGTATATCATTTCTAAATTTAGTACCAATCTCTTATAAAAACTTTGGATATAATATATAACTCTAAAATATATTTGGATATAATTCTAGGATATTCAAGGACTTAAGTTTAATACTTTAAGACATAAGTTTAATAGATAAATATGTATGCAATACAATACAAAACATTTTGTAGAACATAATACAGATGAGACTTAAATCTATTTTTACATGATTTTAAAAATGTAGGTATTGAATACTAAGCTCATTATTAAGTATGGTTATATTCAAACTATATTCAATCCAGAATTTTAATATAGAAGTGAAGTAATACTTACTACAAGAGAAAAATTCATCAATAGGAGTAACAGTTTCAATAGAAAGATCAGATATACTGTTAGGTCTAGGTTTGGATGATATTAGTACAAATAAAGCAAATGACTTATTGTATTCAACTAAAGCCAAAATACGGTTTTCGTTTGGCCAAATTTCCTCCAATGTATAAACATTTAGATGAATCTGTATGACTATTAAGAAAAATACAATCATGAAATACTGTTGCTCTTTCTTTAAGGTTTTAAAAGGATACACTTTTCACCAACTCAGCAGACAAGAACTTAGCTTGCACAATATTCACAACATCTTTATGAACGGCTAACATAATATCAATTCAATTCATTTTATGTAAATATTTACTTTTAAATTTAAAAATAAAGGGCGATTTGTTACTAATGTCATAAACATAACCTAAATTTGTCATCGATTTTTTAACAGTGTTCAGTGTTACCAGCAACTGATAAAAGTCACTAATTAATTAAAAAAAAACTAATCTTAAATATTTGTATAATTTATGTTATATAAAACAGAATTTAAGAGAAATTCTAATTACTTACCGAAAAAGTATGCTTATCTTTTGAAAAACTAAAAAATCAATGGGTAGATAAATATTTTTGATATCAAATTTACTTCTCATTCAAATTTAGTTCCCTTTATTGTTAAAAGATGGCGACATATAAATTAATGTAAATAGTTTTTTTTTTAATAATTGGTAGATTTTAAATAGCAAATTAAAGAAAAAATCAAAGAAAATAAATTTTTTCTGGTGATAATTTATTTTTTTAAAACATTGTGTGATTGGCTTGGATGATGGCTTGGATGTTTATAGTACTCTATTATAGAAGGCTTTGATCTCCCAATATGGAAGGATTCTGTCAAATAGTGACATCTCCTCTAGTTAATTAAGAGAGGACGCTAAAGAACTACGTTAATTTTGAATTTTTGAATTTTTAAATTCCTAGAATTTTTAAAAATGGACTGGGTACATTGTAACAAATGTTTTTTAAAATATCAACCAGAAATGAAAATGTATGTTGTTGAATGTTCTCATATATTTTGTGAAACATGCATCAAACGAGTCAGTAAGTGATCTATCTACATCATTATTAAGAGTTATGCATTTATGGTTATAATATTTTTAAGGTGACGCAAAATGTCTAGTTTGTGAAAAGTCTAGTAATTTTATAGCTATTGGAAACGATATGAGTAGTTCGATTCAACCATTTTTTGTACCTTTGGATATGCAAATTAAGAAAATATTAGAGGTAAGCATTTAGCTACATTCTTATCTCATACTATGTATCTAGCTACTTGTTGATATTACCTATTTAGTAACTGCCGATGTATAGTTACATACATCTCTGTCTCTACTTTTCTGTATCTTACACTAATAAAATAATTAGATTCAGTCATATTTTACATATCTACTATTTACCTTCCATTTCTACCTTTACACATTCTAACATTAATCAAAATAAACTTAAACTATCATGTTACATCTTGATCTTTAAATTTGAGTTTAAAGTTTGGCATGAGACATATAAGTTACATAGAAAATAAAAAAATTAAATAGTTAATTGAAAGACTTCTTTATTACAAAATCAGTGGTACACCAAAGTAAAATTCTATTCTTTTAGTTAAAGTGACCGTCGGCAAAAAAGATACTCTCTCCAAACTTTCGGTATAGCTTCATTAGGTCGAGTCGACACGTTTCCCTTTTTTTTGGTTTTGGGACGTTTTCCTCTTATTTTTCCAAACATTTTCAGCCAAAAGACAGGAAAATCAAAAAACAAGTTCCTTTAGACAATATGAAAAGTCGTTTTACTGCTGTTAATGAAAGTTTCCTGAAAAAATTAGCTGGTTATCTATGAATTCCGTCACAGTACTTTTTTCGACATGTTCGCGTCGTCAGACGCGTTGAATGACCTATATTTATTATCAGACCATTTAATTTTTGTATTTTTCTTATACCAATTTTTAAGCTATTTAATTAAAAGTATATATTATATGGTCTGACGGAACTTGTTTTTCGATTTTTCCATCTGAGAGGTGAACATTTTCGGAAAAATTAGAGGAAAATGCTCCAGAACCAAAAAAGCCGCAGAGGGAAATCGTGTCAGACTCGGCCTAATGAAGCGATACCCAAAGTTTAAAGAAATATATATCATACACTATTTTGCCGACGGGCCCTATATCTATAGGACAAAACCATTTGATAGTTTGAAGCATATAATCATCTTGATGTCCTCAAGTTATTTCCTTATGACTTGTATTCGATTAACACTATTAAATGAATATGATCAGATATAAAGGCTGAAACGTCAAAATAAAATATTTGTGAGTTTAAAATAATGGTTAATTTTTAAGAAGAAAGTTAATAGTTTAAATTTTGAATGAGTTTTGAAAGACATAACCAACTAAGGAGTAGATCATTTAAAAGCAGAGGGTTTTTATAGTTTACATTATTGGGTGTTGAAATACTTCTCTGTATTAGATTACAACAAACGAATAATTAAAATTAAACGAAAATTTGAAAAACTATGTGCCTATTGTATTTAAAAATTGATTGAATATACAGAGCGCTTGTAAAGCCCACCCTTAATATATTTTCTAAAACCATATTAGGTACATATATTTCTTGGAAACTGGAACTGTCTCTTCCCTTGGATTCTTACATTTACCGTTCTATTAGAAGCCTGTTTTCTTTCATCCTAAATACATGGCCTCTGTAGGCATTAAAGACGCTGTAGGTGGACAAATCGCGATAAAGGTGTTCTCCGTTATAGGGTCTAAAATTGACCTCAGTACCTTCCTTTCAAAGATATCTATGCGTTTTACAGATTTTTGAGTCAACACCCAAGTTTCACATTCAAAGCTAACTATCGGTCGGATTATGGCCTTGTAGATTTATATCTTAATTTTTTTATGTACGTCTCGTGATTTAAATATTGGGCTTATAGCAAAGTATGCTGTATTGACCAGGATGATTTTTCTGCTAAGCTGTGTAGCGTCAATGTTGTTCTTTGTGATGTTGACACCTAAATAGATAAAGCTATCTATTTTTTTCTTAGATGTCATCTGTCAGATGAGGTCGTGTAGCTCTCTCCGATCGATTTTGTAGTAAGATTTTAGTCTTTTTTGTGTTTATTGGCAGAACTATTTATTTATTGTGTGATTTAAGTTCCGTATACGTATTAAGACCTGTTGCTTTGGTTCTGCTCATAATATCTGCGTATGCTACCAGTTGTACTACTTTATTAATAAGTGTGCCATTTTTACCTTCTGATGTTTTTCTAACTACGTATTCCAGTGCTAAATTAAACAATGTTGGTGCCAGCCCATCACCCCGTTTTAATCTTTATGTTACATGAAATGGGTCTGTCATCTCATGTTGTATCTGTATCTCAGACACTGTGTTTGTCATAGTCATTCGGATGAGTTTAACTAGTTTGGACGGTATTTCAATTTCACTTATATTTTGTATAAATGTGTCCTGTTTATTGAGTAGTACGCTTGTTTAAAGTCGACGAAAATATTTAGACATCTATGTCATGTTCTCACACTTTGCTTAAGACCTGCTTAACCGTAAATAGTTGGTCGATGGCTAATCTTCCTTGTCTAAATCATGCCTGGTAGTATCTGGTAGTCTTTCCTGCGAGGGGTTAAGGTCTATGGTTAAGAATACTGATAAATATTTTATATCCACAACACAGCACGCAGATTCCCCTATAGTTTTGACAGAAGAGTTCATCGCCCTTTTTATTGATTCAGCAGATCGTATTCCACCCTTTTGGCATTTTCTCCATGTTTCGCATATTCTGTATATGACTTCATATTATATCCTATTCGTTACTTCCCTTCCTCCCAATTTGTACAGTTATGCAGTTATTCCATCACATTCAGGGGCCTTGTCATTTTTATGCAGTTTGATTTTCCTTTCAACCTCTTCTATTATTATCTCATGCTCTTCTGCCTCTTCTAATAGCTTAAAATGGTATAAAATTATCGCTAATGATTGTTACCATTTATTGATCGTTTATTAATAAACCAAATCTATTAATTCCGTTAACTTAAATCTATTGTACTTAGATCACAGTTTCTCTAAGTGTAGGCAATTATTTCTACTTGGATATGTTAAATGTATTTTATAGATTAATAGAATTATTATTCGACATTCGGAACGAGTCTTCCTTGTGGTGAGAAACCTGTCTATAGTTCGACATGCAGTGAAGTGATTTGAAAAAACAGACTCCGTGAACGGGGTCGTCTCTTTGCTCGATTTCTTTTTATTTACTCATACTCTGCATTGTGTGGTACTTTTTGACACATACTGAAGGCACAGTATAGTGCTTTAAAGCACTATACTGTGCTGAAGGTTTAAACTTTCTTCTTCATTTTATCTTCTCATGCCGATCTGGGCGGGGGGTGCTTTAAACTGAGTAGAACTTTGCACAGGACAGCCTGTGTGTTAGCGGGGAGTTTATATACAGGGTGAATTATAACTATTAGAAAATATACCTCCATTCCTATAAACTTAAAGAAAAAGGTGTATAACACATGTATACTACCAGTTTGTACCTACGGCTTAGGTACAAACTGGTAGTATACATGTGTTAATTACAAACAAAAATCTGCTAAAAAATTAGAAACAACGCAAAGAGCACTGGAACGAATCATGCTTGGAATATCACTAAGAGACAAGATTAGAAACACCGAGATAAGACGTAGAACAAAGATTAGGGATATTGTGGAAGAAATTACAAAAATGAAATGGCGCTGGGCAGGTCACGTAGCCCGATATAATGACAACAGGTGGACACGGAGAATTCTAGAATGGAGACCAAGGACGACAACAAGAAGCATGGGAAGACCTCAAAAAAGATGGGTAAATAACATAAGAGCAGTGGCAGGCAAACAGTGGATTAGATTGGCGCAAGATAGAGAAAGATGGAAGCAATTGGGAGATACCTATATTCAGGAGTGGATGGGAAATGGTTGACAAAGAAGAGAGAGAAAATATACTAGAATTAGATTATTTGGACTAAAGGATGGCTATTGGATCAAACATTACTCAATAAAATGTTGCTGTGGAAAAATATGCAGTATTAAAGTTAAAACTTTTTTTGGTTTTTTTTTGTAATATTTTCACTGTAATGTAAATTCTTATCAAAATATCCGCAGAAAAATAACTATAGATAGAAATTATAATATTATTTATAATTTTATATATATTTTTTCAATGAAATTGCGTCAAAACTTTTTTTAACCATACTTAGATCAGATATTTTAATTAAAAAAATATAACATAAATTATTTTACGTGATAGTTGCTCGTATTTAAACGTGTTTTTACAAGCCTTTATGACCGCAGCAGCCCATCTTCTCATATTTGTAATGATCCTTGGGATAGATTCTTCCATATTCCAATTAGAACAGTTCTCACTTCGTCAGTGTTTTGAATAACAGAAATTCTAACGTTAGTATTACGCCTAGCATATCTCAGACATGTTCAATCAAGTTTAAGCTCGGCAAACATGCAGTCCAAAATGGTCGGTATTTCCACTTGGTTTACAAACAGTTACACAGCGAGCGATGTCTTTTTTTCTCTAGATGTTGTCTATTCTATACCGGTTGTACTACAGCCAATTGGATTATTCCACATATTTCATTAACTATTAAAATAAGTCCTTGGGACTTCGGCAGATCCACTACACAGGGCGAGCTATAAATATTGGGACATAGACTAGAATATTTCTGTTGGAAAAGATACAGTATTTTAGAATAATCTTTTTTATAGACGATACTGTAGGGCTAGAGTTCTTTTTTCAAATTTAAATGAAGAATTTTTTTCTAAATACTCTTAGTGATATTTTGGTAGATTTGTTACTGGATGTAATAAAACAAATATGGTTTATGCAGGATGGTGCTCCACCTCACTTTCCATTAGCTGTTAGAAATCACCTTAATAACACATTTCCTTAACTATTGATTGGCTGCGGAAGTGATTTTGAATGGCCACCAAGAAGTTCTGGGTATAATTCGCTTGATTTTTGTTATGGGGGACATATTAATTCCTTATTTTATGTCAATAAAATTAATTCATGACACGAATTCATGAGACCAAAATAGTTGTTACAAGCTTGTTTTGATAATTACCTCTGCTTTTTTTTGACATCTTAGGTAGGTACCGTTCCCGTCATAAAAAACTGGTACAACTCTTATAATCAAAAATCGTGTTTTTTAAGTTGTGTACGTTGATCTTGTCATATGTGTCATTCTAATTTCTAGCGCACAGTTGCCAGTTCAACGAAAATATTATATCAAACCAGCTAAAAGCAGGACTGTGTGACAGACCGCCAGTTTAGAGTATACTAAAAACTAAAACATTATCGAGCATTCTTGATCACTCAGTCACATTAAATTTGTTTAAACATGCATTCTAAAAAAATCTCATATTAATTTTGTAATTTTCCATCATCGCAATTAAGTACCCATACATTGATTTGTGTTTTATAACAATTTATGAAAATATTTCAATTCAAAAATAATGACAGATAATCAATCTAGACAAACTTCAAATTGTTATAATAAAACATTACAGTGAGACATTGGATTGTAACTGTTACGTTTTGAAAAGCGTTTTTTCGCCCCGAATATTTTATAGTTTATAATACGTAGGATAAAGTACCTATAGTGTTAGTTTTTCACATTTTTTATCGTTGTTGTAATAAATAATAAATAAATCTTGGTAGTTTGCCTGTTACAAAACTTATGCAGAATACAGTTCGAGTTCGGTAGGTAATTAAAGTATAAAATTACAGTAGATGCATTCCAATGTTCCCTGTGTCAATATCCTAGGTTTAAAGATCCTTCAAACATTTTGGATAATAACTCAATCCTATCTCTGCTTATTTAATTTCTTAGATATGATTTTTTGTTGTTAATGATATAAATAATACCTATCTAAAATTTTTATACATTTTTGGACGTTATTTTTTTATTTAGATTTGGTGCAATCCCGTTATCTGTAACGGCAACAACGAATTGATTTCTGAACACAGGTTTACATTGGGAAAAAAAGTGTACCAGTTTTATATGACGGGAAGTGTACATACTTCAACCGAACTGATGCCTTCATGAGATTAGTAAGTCTTAGTACATCCTTTTTTGGTAGTTCTTTTAGTATTTCTCCAGTGATAAGATCAAATACAGGCTCTTTCTTTGAATTTATGTTTGTTTTAAATTCGTCTTTAGGTGAAATGATAATTGTAATATTTTCTGGTTCTGGTTCTAGTTCAGTCTTCTCGATCATTTGGCTAGAGAGTCGCTTGTAAATGTTCTGCAATCTTTTTCCTTTTGGAGTAGTGTTTCTAATCCAGGTCCTATCCGCATTTCTGATTGGTGGCTTTTTTAGAATAGACCTTTTAGGGAAAATAATAAAGCAGGAAGCAAGGTTTAAATATCTGGGAATAGATATAACTAGTTACGGAGATGTTGAAGAAGAAGTACAACAACAAAGCTTAAAAGCAACTAAACCGGCGGAATCTCTTCATGACACAATCTGGAAGAACAAACACCAAGACAAGGACAAGAATCTATAAAGCATAAATTAGACCTATATTAACATATACGGTGGAGACAAGACCTGACACATTTAAAATGAGACGACTACTAGAAACAAAAGAGATGAAAATAATCCGACCCTGAATCAGCGAAGAGTCTGTTGGATAAGGAGGAAAGCGAAAACATAAGAAGAGCATGCAATGTAGAACACATAAATGGATGGGCGACAAAACGGAAACAGGAGTGGAACGAACATGTTAGTAGAATGGCAGAGGATAGGATTGTACGAATAGTACGAGATAAGCCACCAAATGGCCGAAGAAGTATTGCAAGACCAAGAAAAAGATGGTGCGATAATTTAAACAATTTGGGAGGCTAGTAATAAAGAAGAAACAGGCTTTAAAATCTACATATAATAATGAAGGCCTTTTTAATCGGTTTGTGGCTTTTCAAAGCGAATAGTCTGTTCTGTTGCCATTTGTAAGTTTATTCAAGTAATCATCAATTGATTTATTTTTAATGTGCTGAATTTCACGTTTCAGATGCGGTGTTGTGTTATTTAAGGCTGTGTTATGTAGTGGTTCTCGTTTTAATTTTTTTGTTTAAAGTTTTCGTTTATTACAAATAAAGTCTCTAATGGGTAACTATTACCTTTTGTTCTAGGAATAGTTTCAGGAGTATTATCCAATACTGTGTGTGGGATACTTTTTATAAAGCGTTCAACTTCTTCATTTAATTGATCTTCTGTTTGTAAAGGAACTGCTAGATGGCTTTCTTCAATTTTAATTTTGAAACTTTCCAGTCAGTCATTTTATTACTTAGACTAGATCATTCTGTTTCTGAATTACAGTGTCACTTAACGTAAGAAGTATAGGTGAGTGATCGGAATTCAGATCCCATGCCTCTTCTACATGTATGTAATTTGTCAAAATATTTCTCACTACGAAGACATCTATAAGGTCGGGAATTTTGCCCGGATTCATGGGCCAGTATGTTGGCTTACCCGTTGATAACGTCTCATATTTAAGCTGATTGTGCTCAATCTAGATGCCCAAAGATCGTGCTTTACGTTGAGATCACCTCATACAATAAATTTGTATCCTTGTTTGTTAAGAAAGTATATATTATTCTTTTTTTATCGAATGCTTAAAAAATTATTATAGGTTTGAATGTTCGAATAATTAAACTTTGAGGGTATACAAGGCAACTATCGAACACGGTGATTAATTTAATCTTGCCCAAGTACTTTCGATCAATAGAACATCTTCAGGGGCATCTGAAATAAGCCAAGAAACGTTTTTTATAAAAAAGGAAAATTAATTCACTTGGATAAAAAACTCCAAGTTTATGGTTGAAAAAATTTTTTATATGTGATAAACGTTTATAGACTTACTTCGTCAGTTGTGGCCTATCCGACATAGTAGAATATCATAAATGTAAAATTTGGACATAACAATACAAAATACAATACACAAAGACAAACAAATACTTTAAAATTTCAAGGAGAAGCTACATGTTGTATAGAAGCCGAAGACAGAATGGGCTCCCGGTCTGACGGAAATATTGAGATGACATGTGACAAATGACAGCTTGTGAAGGGCAGTTATGTGATCTGCATCTTTCAAAATTCTATGAAACTAAGTATTGACCAAAGGTCCAACTGACACCACTATAGGAAATCAACTGATGAAATATAAAATTATATAGTATATTTTTTATGTAGATTGAATAATCCCAATCTCACACTCAAACATGTCTATAATAATTAGGATGTTAGTTTGGGAGCAATTGAAGTTGACATAAAGTATGAATGTAAGAAAAGACTAACAATATATTAGACAGTGGATGGTTGACTACAATAAAATGATCCACCGAGCGCTATCAGTACTGTAAAAAAGAAAAATCTGAATATGCAGTTAAATTACTAAAAGTTAAAATCAAAATTGAAGACAAAATATATAAATGGTTTATAGTCCACATAGTTCAGTTGAATCCACAGTCAATGGAAGAACTTTAAAATTAATATTGAAATGCTCAGTGCATGAAGTCTAAACAGTCGAGCTGGGTCCTCTACAAGGTGAAGCTGTAATACAGTTTTTAAATATAGGATTAAATTTAGTACAATTTAAATTAATTTGAGTATTAAGACAGTGAGAGTTTTCATTTGTTTCCCTTGTAATCTCCAAATCTTCCAATAAATCCAACTCAAGATAGTTTTTCTTTCTGCTAATGTCATGTAAGATAGATGAACCAGCATTGATGTTAAAATTGTGGTTGCTGGATACTAACTGTTGACCAAAACTTGAAGAATTTGGTCTTTTCAAATGTTCAGAGACTCTGGTGGATAATTTTCTGATGGTTCTACCTACATAAGAGGCATCACAATCATCACATTTTAATGTGTAAATACCACTTTTATCAGGTGTATTCATCCTATCTTTGGTATTAAGAAGGAACCTAAAGTGTTCTTCTACAATTGATAACATCAAAATTTCCTTTAAATCACATAAAACTTTAGGTTTTAACTTTTAGTAATTTAACTGCATATTCAGATTTTTCTTTTTTACAGTACTGATAACGCTTGGTGGACCATTTTATTGTAGTCAACCATCCACTGTCTAATATATTGTTAGTCTTTTCCTACATTCATACTTTATGTCAACTTCAATTGCTCTCAAACTAACATCCTAATTATTATAGACAGGTTTGAGTGTGAGATTGGGATTATTCAATCTACATAAAAAATATACTATATAATTTTATATTTCATCAGTTGATTTCCTATAGTGATGTCAGTTGGACCTTTGGTCAATATTTAGTTTCATAGAATTTTGAAAGGTGCAGATCACATAACTGCCCTTCACAAGCTGTCATTTGTCACATGTCATCTCAATATTTCCGTCAGACCTCTCCTTAAAATTTTTAAAGTGTTTGTTTGTCTTTGTGTATTGTATTTTGTATTGTTATGTCTAAATTTTACATTTATGACATTCTACTATGTCGGATAGGCCACAACTGACGAAGTAAGTCTATAAACGTTTATCACATATAAAAAATTTTTTCAACCATAAACTTGGAGCTTTTTATCCAAGTGAATTAATTTTCCTATTTTATAAAAAACGTTTTTTGGCTTATTTCAGATGCCCCTGAAGATGATCTATTGATCGAAAGTACTTGGGCAAAATTAAATTAATCACCGTGTTCGATAGTTGCCTTGTATACCCTCAAAGCTTAAAAAATTATTAAAATAAAAATTACAGTTCCTCAACATTTTCTTTCAGCAATTCTTAACAATCGATTCAAGCAGCTTTACATAAAAGGAGAGGAAGATCAGCATTAGGAAAACATTATTAACTTAATTAAAACTACATAGATATATCGATATAGATATATCGATAAGATAGATAAATGAATATCCCATTTATAGAAAAACTAAACTTTGCAGAAATTAATAGCTATTTTTTCTTCTTTCACTTAATATTGATTTTTATTTCAATAAATGTTCTCAAAAACACTGAGTTATTCCATATATATTTGGGTGTTCGTATTTTAGATTTACCAATTCCAAATGGCGCATAGGCAAAGATTATGTCAAGCTCAAATGCAAAAGTACCAATTCGCAAAAAAGGAATTACTTACTTATCATCATAAACTAAAAGGAGTTTTAAGCGAGAACAAAATGATGCGGAATATGTTGCTGGTAAGCAGATTTTCTAAATTATTTAGTTTATTATCGTACTTAATTGATTTTATTATTTGTTTTATTACAAAGGGGATGTGGCACTCTAGGAGTGACCGAGGAGAGAAAGCAAGGAGCGATGGTTTTATTTTACTTTATTTTATTTTATTCTATTCTATTTTATTCCTATTTGATTCGATAATCGACTCCATTCGATAATCGATGTTTGATTCATTTCGATTCGCTTCGATAGAAAATTTGATTCGATAATCGATTCAATAATCAATTCGATAATCGAATCGATTATTGATAAAATCTTAGACTAGTTTAATATTGGGGTGGAGCTTTTGAACAAACTTGGTGCTGTAATACATTAAAACAAAGTCTTGCATTATTCAGATCATAAATGTGTTGCCTGTGTTAGTCCATTTCAAATAGGTAAAAAGAAATAAAATAATACTTACTCACAATCAATTTAATTGTTTAATTAACAATTACAGCAATTATGTCAATATTATTTGTCTGTGATTAATAATATGAATAAAATAAAATAAATTAAAGCAGACAATATAACACCCACAGAATAGTATGAGATAATCTAATGAATTGAAGTAATTTAGTAAATAACTAAAAATACTACTTAAATGTTAGTCAAAGAATAATTAATTGATGATTTGGAAAACATAGTTCAAACTATCCTGGATTGCTGGTAATGGTTGCCGGTTTTATTGTAACTGTTTGACAATTAGAGGGGAAGTTGCTGAGGAAGGAGTTTTTGGTTATTTACTAATTTATTTCAATTCATTAGATTATCTTATACCATTTGGTGGGTTTTACTTTGTCTGTTGTAATCAATTTTATTTTATTCATATTAATAATCACAGACATATAATATTGGCATAATTGCTGTAATTGTTTTCTTTATAAGACAGCACCCTAATGATAGCACAGGAGGCCTAAGACGAAAGCAGGAAGGAAATATAACTGATTCTGACGGAAACGTCATCTTGGACAAACAGAGTAAAATAGGAACGTGGAAAGAATATCTAGATAAACTATTTGAAGACCAAAGAGATAACACCTTTTAGCTAGAAGAAGAGGTAAATGATGGACCGAGAATATTACAGCAGGAAGTTTATTCCGCAATAACACAGTTAAAGGATGGCAAAGTGGCAGGCTCTGATAATATACAAGCAGAACTACTCAAACTAATGGACAACGAATCAATAGCAATAATCGCAAAGATATTCAACAACATATACAACTCTGGAGAAATACACGGTTCTTATGAACACGTGTTACAGTAAACAATATGGACTCAAGATAAACGTTAAGAAGACAAAGCGTATGATAATTAGCAAGAAAAAGATAACAGAAGGTCAACTCTACGTCAACCAATCTCCTGTAGAAAGAGTGACGCACTACAACTACCTCGGCACCATAATAAATGAAGAATGGACCAACAACTAGGAGATTAGAGCACGCATCGCAAAAGATAGATCAACCTTCAATCAGATGGGGGCCTTCTTTAAGAGTCACAACCTCTCTCTTGATACAAAAGTAAGAATGCTGCGATGCTACGTCTTCTCTGTCCTTTTTATGGTGTTGAATCGTAGACCTTGAACAAAGATATGTGCAAAAAACTGGTAGGATTTGAGATGTGGCCATATCGGAGAATACTTAAGATCCCGTGGACTGACCGAGTCACAAATGAGGAGGCCCTCAGAAGAATGAATAAGAACCGAGAGGTACTGACCACCATTAAATCTCGAAAGTTACAATTCTTCGGACATATTATGCGAAATGAATCCAGATAGATTTGGAAAGCGAGGTCCAGGAAGAAGAAGAACATCTTGGTTAAAGAACCTCAGAATTTGGTTCAATACAACATCTGTGCAGCTTATGCGCGCTGCTGCAGATGAGATAAAGATTGCCATGATGATTGCCAAGATTCGTAACGGATAGGCACATCAAGAAGAAGAAGACCCTAATGTGGGTTTTTATAATTTTAGCATTTAATTTACCTGGTACCGTTAGACCTGAAGATGCATAGCAAATTGTAGTATGCGAAATCGGTTGTGCTGGTGGTAAAATTAAATTGATTGTGAGTAAGTAAGATCTTGGGGATACCCTAATGTCAACTACAATACTGCTCCAGGCCCTGGCGGTATACCACTAATTTTTTTATTAAACCTACCAGAAAGTAGAATGTCTTGGCTGTTAAAATTATACAATTTAATTTGGACAAATCAGGTCTTTCCATCTGTATGGTCAGACAGCATTATAATTCTTCTGCCCAAACCCAATAAAAAAAGAACAAACATAGACTCGTACCGTCCTATATTACTCACTAATGTATCATGCAAAATTCTAGAAAAAATTATAAACAAAACACTATTGTGGTACTTAGAACAAGAAAAACATTTAATTCCTCAGCAAAGTGGCTTCCGTCAAAATAAATCATGCGTAGACTTACTAGATTTAGAGTCAGATATTCACGAAGGTTTGCAAATAATTAAGAAACTATCGCAGTATTCTTCGATATCACCAACACATACGACACAGTGTGGACGTATAATATTATATCAAAATTACATGTGGGGAATCAGGGGTAATATGCTAAGATTCATAGAAAACATTCTTTAGTAAAGAGCTCTCTGTATTCTCGTCGATAATTCCTCTCTAACAAAAAACAAAAAAAAAAAATCAGAAAAACAGAACACCTCAAGTGTCAGTTATGAGCTCAACACTCTTTATAGTGGCTATTAACGATATACTGGATAATTGCTTATTGCTAGTTAAGGAAAGGCTATATGCGGACAATCTGGTTCTATTTGCAAAGAGCAAGAATATAAGAATGACTCGAAAGCATTTACAAGAATCCATTTATAAACTAGAAACATGGTCCACGTCAGTAGAGGTGCAATTTCCCCCCCCCCCCCTAAAAACAAGATGCATGCTTTTTTCAAGAAGGTACCGGCTCCAAAGAACACCAATAAAACTGTATGTCAAGTCGCGTATATTCTCGGATAAAATTATATTTCTTGGAATGGTATTCGATCAAAAGCGAACAAGGAAATAACATATTTTAGAAATAAAAATCTTGCCAAAATGGATTAAATGTAACGAAAACATTATTAAATAAAAAATGGGGAACTAACGAAACTACATTATTAAATATTTATATCACTCGTTAAATCAAAAATAGATTATGTGGCTATTGTATATGCTTCTGCTTAAAAACATGTTATCAAGCAACTTAAAATAATTTAAAACACAGCACTTTGCATTGCCACAGGTGCATTTAGAACCACACAAGTTATTAATCTCCAATGAATAACAGGAGAATTACCTCTTACTCTACGAAAGAACTATTTATGCCTCTCGTATGGATCTTCAGTGGCCAGTAACAAATTACACCCAGATATACACCTCAAATATATTTATGGACCGTTACCTATAAACATAAAAAAAGTGAGTTCGATTCACCATTCTATAAAAGAATCCGAATAAATTTACTATATTTGCAACTCCAAATTCCTCACCTCTTTCTTTCAAATGTAAAAACACCCCCTCCTTGGTTAATCATAATTCCCGAAATCAATACGATAATACTCCATCATTTTTAAAGGAACTTGAGACTTGCGGGAAAAGTTTTTGGATTTTTACAGATGCCTACGGCGTAAAAGCAGCATTTGTCACTCCACATTCCTATTCGTAATTTAAATTAATGTCATCCACTTCTATATCTTCTTCATGTACCATGTACTTTCAGAACGTTGGTTACCATCATAGCTATCTTAATTTTATTCACTGCCACCCTAAATAGCATGCTTGTATCAACACCATACCAATCTCACAAGTTCTTCAACCATGAGGTTCTTCTTCGTCCTGGACTGCGTTTGCCTGCTATGTTTCCTTGCATGATATTTTGTAGCAACTTATATTTGGGACCTCTCATTACATGTCCGAAATATTCCAGCTTTCTCTGCTTGATACTTTTTATGATCTCAGTAGTCTTGCTGAGACGTTCTAGTTTTGTGGAGTTTCGAATCTTCTCCACCCATGAAACTTTTACAATTCTTCTACAGCACCACATTTCGAAAGCCTCAAGGCGATTTAGATCGATTTTATTCACAGTACAGGACTAGACACCATAAAGCAAGACCGAGAATACGTAGCAGCGAAGTAGGCGGATCCTCAATACCAATTTTAGGTCTGTGTATATACACAGCAGAATTATATGCAATATTACAAGCCCTCATGCATATCAAACGTACAAACCATTCTTTCTCTTCCATTATCACTGATTCTCTAAACTCGTTAACAAGTGGTCAACTATACACTAAGAGCCCTAAAGCCATACTTGTCAAGAAAGAACTTATCGGCTTAAGAACAATAACGACCATACTATAATAGTGTTAAAGACTATCTCCAGTGACATAAAACAGTTCGTCAAAGAAAAAGAGATCAGTGTTAGTAAAAAGAGATCAGTACTTATAAGTATCTAATGACTCAGGAAGACATTCCAGTGTGTGAATATTGTCAAGTCAATATAACTGTTAAACATCTCCTAACAGAATATGGAGAATATACAGTTAACAGAAAAAATAACAATATTTCCGGTGACTTCAAAACAGTATTAGGTGAACATTTAACTTAGTAAAAACTTAATTAGCTTTCTAAAAGATATATCTTGATATAATTTAATATAATATAATAACTAATGTTGCTAATGACCTAGGTGGTTAAACCGACAACTAAAGAACTCTCTAATATATATTATAATTTAATTGATTAATTGTAAACATATTTACTACGATACTGGCACGATTCACCCCTGGAGGTCCATGATGCATGCATATGTATTTTCGTTTTTAAGGGTTCGCTTATTTCTTTATCTCTTTAGTTTAAACTACTCATAGTACAAGATATAGTGCAAGTTATAAATATTTTAGAATAACAGTCGTCCAAATGCTGGCAGTTTCATTACAAGCACTCCTTCGGCGATGAACGAGGATATTTCTCCATGTAAATCTGCTATTTCTTCAATTATTCCATATACACCGATACAGGATAAATCTAAACCACCTGGTAATTCCATACCAGGGTATGCTCAAAGACAAAATAATTACGATGAAAATACAAGGGGAATGTCTGCACTTCGCAATCAACCGGTAAGTACACATTTGTTTATTATTGTATTACAAAATAAAATAAAAATAAAATACGTGTACTTTCTATTCTGCCACGAAGTCATCTTCAGATCTTGGCCCTGTTCTTTATTTGGTTTATAACGAAACTACTTTTTCACTTTTTATTTTTCAAAGAATATTTACTTATTATTATTATTCTTGTAGCGGATGTCTGATTTTGAGTATGATTTTATATATTTTTTATTTTTGTTTCTGTCTGTATAACTATCTATATATAAAGATAATAAAATTAAATATCTAATAAAAAGGAAAAATCCTGTTTTGGCTGTTGAAACGCTCAATACTCCGGGAGTATTGGGTTTTTTGAAGTGTAGAACTTCCAAATTTCAGAAGAACTGAAAGAGAAGTGATAAAAAAAAAATACTAAAAATAGGGCTAAGCTCAGAGGAACAAATTTAAATGGCCAAAGAGACACTAAATCTCAAGTGAGTGTTCGGGCTAGCTTCAATGCACTGGATTGTGGCTTTAAAGATATAAACAACAATAACAAGAGATAATGAGCTAAAGAGACAAGAAAGAAATGAGACCTGGTAATATCAAACGTGATACAACTGAAGAAGGTCACTGGGAATAAATTTATAGAAAGAGAACAATAAGAAGAGAAAAGAAGGGCGCCAACTCAACGATAGTTGAGATTTTGAAGTAACAAATGAATCTGGAGATAATACTCTGAAATACAAAAATACTAAATACTAATCTTGTCTTGCTATGTTATATACTGGTTAGTAGAACTGAAATAAAACTCAAAATAGCAACAATAAATATATTTATAAAAAATGTATATAGGTATATGTGTATACACAATTTACATATAATGCAAAGCTAAATAACAGTGGTAGTGGATGGTGTAAATATACAATGGGACCTTATAGCCCCTCAACAAGCGAAAAGTCACTACCACTGGCCAAATAAAGTTTAAAATATTAGTAACAATTCAAGGATAGTCCGTATGATAGCCAAAGTCTTAACACAAAAGGTAGTAATTTAACTTTAAATAGTTCTACTAATATGAGATACTAATGACAATATTGTAAAGATATCAACCTTGATAAATCTATTACAATTATTATATTATATCCAAAAAATGAGTCTTCAATACTCTTTATATATTGTTTAAAAAAAAAAACCACATGAAATTTATTTCCCTTCCCAAAATCAAAATTGTATTATATCCAAAAAATGTATTCTATTAAAAAATATATATATTAAATCAACAAGTGAGTTCGGTCAGACTCTTGAAATCCTAACTAAAACCTAATAACACATGAAATGTCCCTTTTTCCTCCCCGAATATTTTATAATTAAATTATTAAAAAAAAAATGTTCACCTTGTCATATGCATATGAAGAGGGTATACTACTAAATAGGAAGTAACAAAAGTTAAACAATTAAATAGATAGTAACAAAAAAAATTACACAGTCAAACAACTTATCTTTACAGCCCCATAAGTCCATAGGAAAATTCCTCTTGGCACGGCTAAATCAGTTTATGGCTGTAAAGACGAATCCTGGGCACAAAGCCACAACCAGTCACTGGTCTCTGGGTGACAGCAAAATCCACGGGTTACATACACAAGTTGCTAACTATGTATCTAAGGATTCTGTTACTAGTATCCTTGAGGGAATATTCTCAAGAGAATACTCTCAAGTGAAGTGAAATTAATATTTTCACGTGACGGAATCTAAAATGATTATTTAATTTAATAAATATGTAATTTAATAGGTGTAGCAGCATGGATTGACTGCACCAAAACAAAACATCAAAACATTAGGTATTAGGTTAAGTCAACATCATGTCAAATTTATGAAGTTACTTTCGTAGGCATGGCAAGCTTGCGCCATGAAAAGAACATGCGCAGAATATAGAAGGCTGTCCACATTTGTAGAACCTTTTATATTCCACCAAAAAAGTTAGGTAAAAAAAAAACCAAAAAAACTTAATGGTAACGACATGGAATAAAACAGAATTTAAGTTTAACTATATAAAAAAAATGACCTTCTGTTCTTTGCAAGTAAATCAAGGAAATTTTATATTTAAATTATTTCGGAACTCAAAAATAAATTCTAAAGAAATACTAAATACAATGATAAATTTGATTATATGATAAAGAGATAATACGTATGAAATGATTTACTTACATGGAGCTGCAGCACGCCAAAAAAATCTTCCTTTTATGTGGAACTCTTATAAATATTGATTTTATTATACAAATTACTTATTTATATTATTATTAATAAATTATATTCTTCCCCAAATTATTTTTCTGCTCCAATTCCGTCACTTTGAAGGTGAACAATTTCACCGGTTGGCGTGGCTGCGTATGAGTTCTGACCAAAACTGATCGTTCGGCTTCCGCATAAAATCGATCTTCCTTTCAAAGCGATAACAGCGCGTGGGTGAAGGAATGTCGATTTAAAATCGATCGTAGGCGGGTAATAAAAATTTCTTAAGGGGGTTAATCAGTAGCGTAAACGCTACATTCTCCCTCATCTCCAGCAAAAAAAAAAGGAACTTTTTTTTTTTGTGGCAGAACGATCTAACACTAACAATGAACGTTGATACGTTAAAATTGAACATTTTCGTCACCAGTCAACCATTTGCTCAGGAATTGGAACAAAATCAAGGACGAAATAAAAATATGGAACGAAGAATATGAGACGAAGTCATACATTTTTTTTTTAATGCGATAATGTATGTTAATTTAGTATAAACCAAAGATAAAAAAAATAAAAAGGTATACATTTTAAGTTAAATTCTATAACCTTACAGATTAAGTTAACTTTTAACACTACTTATCTACATTCTCAAGTATTTGTAAAAACAACCATTCGTTAAAACTACATTTTAGATGTGTATTAACAACCCCTAACACAATATCTCCAAGAACCATTCATAACAACGAAATTCAAACAAAGTCCTATGAACTTTACCCAACGTTGACACTAGAGCGACCAGATTCTATTCGTCACCATAGAGTTCAATGAGGGATTAATTATTCAGGACTAGTTGCAACTACAAACCTAAACATATATAGATGGTTCGGGATATCAACAACAAGGTAAAAGATAATTCAATACACCTACTTGCTCTAGCAGCGGTAGGAAAACACACAATCGGTAAAGGCACAAGCCTAGATACTAGCAAGCCCACTATGCTCATGGTATAGGGTATGCTAAAAAAAAAAAGGTAAGTAAGGTAACTGCAATCCCAACTCATAGTAAAGGATATGCACAAAAGGTTAAAGATAATTGCACGTCCAGATTTACTCATGGTAGAGGATATGCACAAAACTCACTTCTACCAGCTATACACTTGGTAGAAGGAAAGATAAAAGAGATCCTAACTGTAATACCTAAACTGTACTATTGATGTGTTCCAATTCTTTACTCACGACAAGAACAGTAAAGGACAGATTTTTAGGACTCTATAATCAAGATAAAGATAAGATATATATTCATAAGATATAGATAAGAAATAAACTTATCCAGGTAAAGGTAAAGATAACTAACTTAAGGTAAAGGTACGAGATAAACCAATTAAGGTAAAGATAAAGATACACTCAAGGTAAAGGTACGAGATAAACTCAATTAAGGTAAAGATACACATACGCTCAAGGTAAAGGTACGAGATAAACTCCATCAAGGTAAAGATAAACTCAATTAAGATACAGATAAAGATAACTCCCATCTACCAATCCATATCACTAGTAGAGAGACAGGTAAACAAACAGTATACAATAAGATATGTTAAAACTCAAATACTTTGAGAAGGTAATAACATAGGAGATAACAAACTAAGTTAAACAGACTTACTGCTGAATATCAGAACGATCCAATTCTAAATGACACATTCTAATTTCAACCTAAGAGACACTCAAGGAACAACTAATATGTATTGATATATTTCTGAGCCAGGTGAGGGCACACATCCAGGGTGATCAATCCTGAACCCACGCTAAAACACCGACACAGTAAGTGAATATGAATGCATACGCTTTATGGCCATGGTCCACAAAACCATACAACACTATTAAAGAATATATTTGAAATGTTTTCCTAATTATCCCTGTAAATATCTATTCAACTCAGAACTCAAGATGGGGAAATTCCCATATATCCATCCTGTACTCCTATGATATGCAGTTGGACTTTTAAGAGAAAACAAACAACAAAATTAACAAGTCCATAAACTAAGATAATAACTAACATTAAGATAAGATAAAAAAAATAGAAGGCAAAATAACACGACTTATGGTTTTTGCCAGGTAAACAAAATAGATAATCAGATCTTAAACGACCAAACTGGTACAGCATTGATAAGGGACCAGTTAATCTTCATCAGAAGATGAAGAATCCAAATTATCTGACAAGTTATGTGGACCTACTGTCTTATCCTCCAGTAAGTCTTTGACATGAAACCTTCCTAGTTTCCTACCAGTAGAAGTTTCCTTCAGCTCGTATATTAAAGGAGAAATAACTTTAATAACCGTACAAGGTATGTACTTCTGACATAACTTAGCAGATTGGAAGTTCAACTTATCAGACTTGACAAAGTTCCTCTTTAAAACAGAATCTCCAACTCTGAAAGATAAGGCTCGCTTTCTCAGGTCATACTGGCATTTATTTCTAGCATAAGATGCTTTCAACCGTTTGCGAACATCCACATAAATATCAGGAAGATGCTGAATATCTTCTAAACGGTGTAATTTATCTGATATAGTGGGAAAGTTATTGGCATTCTCTGAAATCTTACCAAAATAATCACCAGAAAGAGGGACATGACGACCAAACATCAAATAAGATGGAGGACATTTGGTTATTTCGTGAGAAGAAGTCCTGATGGCTTGTACTATAGAGTGGATATGAGTATCCCAAGCTCTCTGATCAGGAAAAGAATATGACCTTAAAGCAGTCACGATTGATTTGTTCACTCTTTCGGTATGGTTGACTTGTGGATGATA